AACCCAAGTGGTCAACAAGGAATGCTGTAAAGATTAAATATGCGAAGTTTCAGTCTTCCCACTGAATAATTTGTGTTTGCCTTCAACGTTTGTGAAGCACTTAGTGAAGTAATCTGCGCGTGATGGGACAGGACATCGAAAAAGCACAAAATAACAAGAATGCGCAAGAGGTATATGAAATAGAAATCGCTCAAGAAATGAACACTTTCTTGCATTTCCGCTCTGAGTAACTCGTATGAGCTCGCTTCACTGCATTGAGCTACAAAGGAGTAGATAAGAATTTTCTCCTTTGATGTCTCTCTTCACGTACACGTACTTCCATCTTTCTCTCGCAGTAAGTGGGCTACAGACATCACTCTTTGTAGTAGGGTCAATGTTTTTTAAGCAGATCAAACATATCTCAATGAAGCAAAGCAATTTAATTGTAATCAACTCAGCAACAATAATTTCACAATTTTCCAATAAGCTTGTGCAGCCTGTAGGCACGAACCGCAAGCTATCATCCACCCAAAGGCACTCTGGGTGATCTCTGGCCTTCGTAGTAGTGCACGGATTTAGCGGGAGAGGTAGGAAAGTGGATCGTAAGCGCACGCACATGCCTTGTAATAAGGACAAAATAGCAGCAGGAAACAAAGAAAAGCCGAAATTGCATGACAAAAATAATAACCTACTGAATTAGGAGCAAAGTGCAAGAAAAGGGGCGTACGTGAGACCTCGGTCGGTGGCGTCGGCTCGCCGTGCGTGCAAACGCGCCCCTTTCTTTTTCGGGGCACCGAAAATGTGTAATATCGCCGCTTCCTCGAGGGGAATAGCGGCCTCTTTGAATTCCGGCGGCGTGAATTCTTGGCGCTGCGCGCGGAAGCCGACGCTGTGCCACCCTCATGGGTGCGTTGCCAGCAAGGTTGTATTATTCCGACAAAATATAAGTATAGCATGAGACCTTAGTGCTCCGTCACGTCACAGAACCATGAGCCCTGCGGTTGTCGTGTCTCTCTGTGTGATCGCTCGAAACACGCCGGAGTTCTGGAGAAACAAAAAAGTGGTAATGTACTTACGGGTTGCAGAAAGCGCGTCGAGTGTGAAGGTACAGTGTGCAGTGGTGATATGTTGAAATTTAGTACTGGCGCGATGCATACGAAAAGCACGTGACACCTGGCATAGATAGTCGGCATGTACACCAGGCGTATTTTCGTAGTATAAATAACGCAGCAGGATAACTTCCTGTCGTCGTCAATGATGGATACACACGTGATCTGATAAGCTACCGTACGATTTGAGTGAAACAAAGAACGGCAAAGTTGGAGCTCCTTAAATATAGATCTTTGCCAGCGTCCGTGGTTGACCCGTGTCACCATTAGCAATAAATACCCTGTGACATTGTGATGAAGTGTTATCTTATTCTATCGGCTGGCTTTAAATACCACTAAATACTGCAACACGAATATATATGATAAGACTAAAAGACCACCAGGCCTGCGCCAAATGCACAGCACAGTCAAAACGAAAGCTGGAAGAGCGGCCTTTTAGAGCCTTTTTTTGAACACTTTTTTTGGGTAACAGCTACAATCACACTCGCAGGGTATCCACTACACGCCATAAATAATCATAATTGTTGTGTAGTAGGGAAGTACTCATTATAACATCCTTCGACATTCTTCGGAGGCCCGCTACAAAGTTGCAAGGAATTTCGTGGAATCTTTCGATGCTTTGGGGCTCAAGATGGTGAACGATTACGGCTGAAGTTTTTGCAACGTTTTTGCAACGTTTTTGCAAATAAAAAATTTATTTCTCCGAAATCCCGGCATCGGCATCGATGGTTGTGAGTGAAAATCGTCATATTTGCGAGGCTGAAAAAGTTAAGAAAGATGCCAATAAAATTATAAATTTTTATAGCGAGTGGGGATCGAACCTAGGTCGTTCTCGTGGCAAGCTGGTGTTTTACCATATAACCACGCCTTTTTCTTTCATCGTATTTATTAAAATGTGTTCTAGAATGAACATATTATGACACTAATTGTATGAAACATGAGCATAATCACACAGTCACAATAAGCGCTCTAGCGTTATGAGAAAAACTCGACGATTAATGAAGTTCAGTAGAGCAGCAAGAGTTCAACTCACGTTATACAGCAAAGGTGGCGAGGCCACGCACCTGACGAAGATGGGGTACCAGTCCGGTTTAAAGTAGATTTCATCATCATTGCCTTTTAGGTGAACAGCCATTCTTATAAAATGTGTGCTAGAACAAATGCTGGGATCTGCGTTTATGTTTTGCACGCGCGTCTTCCACATAGGCTGTACATACCCAAGAGGAAAAACATATTGAGAGACACTTTGTCAAGTGATGTCGGCAAAAGATAACGTATTGTGTAAGAATCGATATCAAAATATTTCTTCGGAGTCCCCTGAAAGACATTCCAGAACGAGATAGCATCTTTAAAACTAACAAACAGTTTTATATTGTCTCTGGCACATCCCATAGGCGGCAGTTAACGCAGTCAACACAAATACATTTTCTTTTTCGCCATGTTTCAACGGGCAGTGATTGAGTATGTAGCTGGTAGAAGAATGCTTTTGACTTTAGAAAGGCATACATTTTGTGCATTCGTTTCAACACATGATGACCTGGCAGATCGGAGTACAATGAACAGTACAACGGAGGTGGAAAAAACATAGGTAGTAAATCCTTGTATACTTTGCGAGACACTGCGTACAAGTATTTTATGAAAAAGCGAGCTTTAAAGAACCTAATTACAAAATAAACTTTGTGCATGAATGCCCACAAACACGGGCGCTATGAACAGTTTGAAGAAATAACTAGGTCAGGTAAGCAATCCACAAAAGTAACTTGAAATAATGAAGGAACTATGGGGTCGGAATTGGCACAGAAAAAGAAAAAAAAAGCGGGAAACTGTTTGCCGTATGTAAAGATGCTTTAATCCTAACACATCAGCCCTAACTGGCCTGAAAATGTTGCCATGATGCATGGGCTTTAAAGTAGAAGACTATATGAAAGTTGAAAAAATCTGATGAAATCGTTGTACATAAAATTTTGCACAATAGATCAGTAGCGATTCGTAGCTTTGTTTCTGGAAAAGTATTGCAATCTTCAGGTATCCAAAATATTGATAGGTGATGTAGAACAAACGTCTGGTCTCGGCTTGTAAATAAGCCAAAATAACTCTCTCTGCTTGGAAATGTTGTGAAAGAAGCTTTCATTATTCAGAAACACACGTATACTGTATACTTGCTTCACAATACAACATGAGATACTGCCTCAACAATGCGTGGTACAAGGATATATTAAAATCAGGCGTCAGAAAATTGCATTATCATAATGACTTCATACATTAAAGCCAGTTCCCACTATATATGGCACATACAATAGTGCCTCTTTAAGGCCACGTTAGGGTGCATAGCAAGTTCGAGAATATTTCATACACTAAGTGTTTGAAGTACGCACTAGGAACAGAATATCACTATCGTGTTCAATTCTTGAAGGCGAAGCTTGCCCCGTCGCGGTGGTCTATAGAGCACTGCGATGGGGCAAGCTTCGCCTTCACTATAGCAGCTTCGCCCCTACAGTGGCTCAGAAGGTACTCAGCAGCCGAGTACCTTAGCCACTATAGTGGCATAGGTACTCGGCTGCTGACCCGCAGGTAGCGGGATCGAATCCCGGCGGCGGTGGCTGCGTATTCGATGGAGGCGAAAATGCTGTAGGTCCATGTGCTCAGATTTGGGTGCACGTTAGAGAACCCCAGGTGGTCGAAATTTCCAGAGTCCTCCACTACGGCGTCTCTCATAGCCATATATGGTGGTTTTGACACGTTAAATCCCACATATCAATCATCAAGGCGAAGCTTATAGATCCCCCTGTCTTTTTTTTTTCATGTCGTCCTCATGCCCACAAACGCAGCTGATAATTGAATATGCGACCTCGTAGCGCATATTACGGAGCTTATTTGTAATTTTTGAGGCTTAGCACGCTTACGATCATACTGACTGATGTGATGCGAAGACCTTCACGCATGGTTAGAAGTCAGATTTTAGAAATTCCCTCTCTTTATCTAACAACAATTTGTGCTTAAAAAACGAAAAAAAAAACCGAACAAATTCGAATTTGTTCATTCTTTACATGAGATCAAGAATTTTAAAGATGGTGAGAGATTTTGAAAGTGGCTTTCAAAATTTGCATTTACAGCCTTGGTAATACAAGCTATGGCTATGAAGGTTTCAACGTATTTGAAAGGTAGCCACAGGTTGCACTGGAGCACGCCATTAGTTTCAAACGGTGTATAGCACTTTTTTATTTCTGATTTTCTTCTTAGTTTTTTAAATCGGCAATTTTTTGAGAGGTCATTTCTTGTGATTTTGCACAAGGGTATAGACGCAGAAATGAAAATTAAATTGTCAGCGTAGAACAAAACTAGTTTGGTTCTTTCAACAACTGTCAATGTATAAAAATTACCACATATGAATGTTTTATTACACTAAAAAGTACAATTGCACCGAGGCTACTGATTCAAGTTCCGGTAAAGTAAATGCTAGCGATGAGAACATCGGACAATTTTCTTTTGCTCATACCCGATAGCTTCCAAGAAAAAGGCGCGCAAACTCGAAAAGTGTTGTTCTCAGAAAGAAGTACAAATTACGCAAGAATCCAAATGCGATTTCGGTCAACGTGCCCAAGCAAAATGACGAAAAGTTAGTTTTGAAAGCGGGAGTGGCCAAGTTTGATATATTTTCTGAAAGACGAAGACACTATCAGGTTATTTCGAAATGCCTAAATTGAATTTTTTCACCGAAGGAAGCATCACCTAACCATAATCGAGTTGTGTGTATTCTGATCACTGAATGAGCAGATTCATAATTCCGTAGCAAAGTGAAACAAGCTTACAGGGCTTCCTTCGCTGTATTTCGAAGGAATCGATCAGTATTCCTATGGTTGGCTGCAAGTGCGATGAACATTTTTTGACTCTTGTCAGGCATGCTGTATATACCTGGGTCTGGCGTCGTGTACAATGGCGCGTCGGTAGTTTCGACTTGACTGTCAAGACTTTGCACAGGAGACCACGATGGGGGCGTCGAGGCACAACTGGAGAGCCAAGCTTGCAGCAGCTCTGCGGAAGAAACAGAATAACACAAGTGCTACCATAGTTTTTTTTTTATTCTGACGAGGTATTTTTGAAGCGACTCTTCCGAGCAATCGAAAAAAAAAATATTGGTGTGACTGCGGGCTCCAGAAAAAAGATTATCGTCATCGTCAAGGATACCATGCTACATTAATCGTCACTCTTCAACATTTATTCAAGCATATTAACTGCACTAAGCAAGTAAATAGCGTCACTGATGCTCTGCCACATATAGAGATTACGACGCCTAGAAAGAAGAGTATGCTTGTTATCCTACGTGTTCTAAAACACGTGTCTTAACACACTCGCAGTTACACAACTGACGTTCTGGCATTTCGCAGCTCGAGAACTTGTGATTTCATGGAGAGGGTGACGTACGTTTCCCGCGCACCTCGACTTTTTTGCGAGATTCCTCCGCAGTTTCTAGAGTCAAGGTATGTTGCTTTCAGACGCTTTGGAGATCTCCTGTTTAAAAGTGACTGATTATTTCAGCGTCTATTAGCCATATTTCATTGCATCGCTTTCTAGGAGGATTTCTGATGTCATCATGGGAGATGACAAGCTCACTTATTCATCCAGATAGCCTATGTGGGAGTCCTAACTTTGTCCTTGGGACATAAGATGGCATCTATACATTGAAAATTTATCATCATGTACGAATTGTAACCTTAAAAGCTTCAGGAAATATTGAACTGGCTAACGCTCTCAGCATTTATAAAATACTTTGAGAGTTAGTCCAATACAGTCGAGTGAATCATCAAATAAAGCCACAAAATACTTCAAGGCACATGAATGGTCCGCGAGAGCTAGGGATATAAATAACGTTATTGAAATAGGGACTGCTTGAATAAAATGAATTATATTATCTGTGGCAGCCGAACAGTCATGGTGCCAGAATCATATCTGCCAATGGAGTAGGACGCTACGGGCTATTGCACTGATCTTGTTGAAGACGTACCGGAAGACGGTCCTCCTTCGGCGTAGTGGAGTTCCTCTTCGAAGTGGTACGATGCCTTGAATCCCTGCCCAGGTGAGATACTCCGGCTCACGAACTCTACCAATATATCGGGCCCGGTCGAAAGAAGTTCCACGAAGTAGTGCGTGTTGCAGAACTGCGCGATTACTCGGGCTGTCAAATCCTTGCCGTCATAGACGACGATTGTGTCTGGGCTCGTCAGGCAGCTGCACATATTGTGGACGAGTGCAGACAGTTTAATGAACCCATTCATCAAGTTACAGCTTGATTACGGCGGAAAGTAAAAGGCAGAAAGAATGCATATAAAATCGTACACGCTATCAAGAAGTACTTGCTATGAGTTTGCTAGATTGCAAGGTAGGAAGGAGTGCACAAGTAAGAAGAGAAACATCACACAATAATTCATGGAATTGAACATCCTCAAACAACGATTGATTATGAGAGACGCCAAGGCACTCCAGAAACATTGACCCCATGGGGTTCTTAACCAAACACCTAAATCTAAATTCATCGGCCTCGATCATTTTCGCCTTCATTGAAAATAACACTGCCGATTTCCCGCGACTAGCGAGTTAGCAGTCGACACCATAACCCCTTGACTACCGTGGAGTTCATAACATTCGTAATGTATCGCAAAAAAAAACGGCAAGACGAACACAAAGAACGACACACTACAAGCGCTTGTAGTGTGTCGGTATTTGTGTCCGTCTTGGCGTTTTTTGTGCTACGTTATGAATGTGATACATCAGGCCTGCCTCATGTGTTTAAATAGAGCTGGTAACTTCATTGCTGGCCGCAGGCAAAACCGTGTAAGTGCCGGTTCACGTTATGACGGCAAGCATGGCTCACCCTTTGACGTTCTCGGACAGTCATGCGTGGCTGTTCACTTCGTGCAAGTCTACCGTTCTTTGCCGTTCTAAGAATGGGTCTGATATCTATTTGTTTGCCGTTTGCCGGAGAGCGACGTAGCCAATCAATGACGGAGGAGTGACATTGGCTAGCCACGTCATCTGCTTTCGGCGCTGCGCGTTGTCTGCGTCTGTCACAGGACACTTCGAGCTGCTTGCTTCTTTGTCCGCGATTTTCACGCTATGCCATACGTGTCGTTCACCCACTACGTTCCAGTAGTTATTAGAGTGTTTTAGTCTGTCCAGCTTCAAAAAAAAAACGCAAATTAACTCCAAATACTGTGTCCCATAGTCGGCATTTCGACAAGTGGCGCCAGCTATTCAGGAGGAGCAACAACTAAGAAACGTGTAATGTTGTCACAGAACGAGCGCTAAAAAAGAGCGCGCCGCCAAATCCTTGCGACAACGGGCGGCAGAAACGCCGCGAGGTAAAAAGAGAAAAAAAAAGAAAGCAAACATCGAGGGCTCCCGGGCGCGCGCTCTCCCCGCAGAAGCACGGCTTCGCAGACGAACCTCCTCACCCCACATCGGCGGCCCAGCAAGCCCGCGATTTTTCCAGAAAGAAGTGGGCGGGGCCATACCGAGTTGACTCACCGGCAGGAGAGGGCATTCCAACTGTCTCGCCCTCTTCCCAGCTTTCGCCGCGTATCGCGCCGGCGAAATGACCAGAAATTTCTGGAAAGTCGCGCGCAAGGTATTTAACCGAGCAGCCGAGACGAGAAATCAGGAGGTGACGGAAGTTAACGCCAGAACGCGTAGGAATTCCGCCGTGTAGTCGGCGAAGGTTCTGCCCGTAGTGACAGAACAGGAGGAGACGGAAGTGAGCGCCAGAGTGCGTAGAGAGTCCGCCGTGTAGTCGGCGAAGTTTGTGGTCCGTAGGGACGGCTCGAGCTACAGGCAAGAGCGTGGGTTTACCGCTATTGAGCGAGGACGCGTGGCAACAGCTGCGTGTGTGAAGCCGACGTGTTCGGGCGAAGAAGTTGAAGTTTGAAGAGTGGCCAATTGAAGACGGGAGGTTTCCTGGAAGAGAAACTTCAGAGAGCTGCGGAACGACAACAACGCTGGACTTTGAGTGAGTGATTCTCGGAAGAGTATCATTCAGACTTTTGTTCCAAGGACTTTGGACTGAATAGGTTTTCTATCTCTTTAGTCCTTAAGTGTCTTGGTTGTTCAATGCATGTGACTGCATCGTAGTGCGTATTGTTGTCTGTGTCCGTTGTTTCAAGTGTGGTTGATTGTACTGTGTAGTACATTGTCTGTTTGGTGACGTATTGTATGTAACTATTGTGGAGTGTGCATACGTGTGTATTGTTTTTGATCTGCCGTTAATGAGAATATAATTTTGTTTGTTTATCATCTCTCGGCTCTGTCTTGTTCTTTGGGCCACAGCCGGCGTCCGCTGGCGCACCAATAAGGACCACTTCTAAATTGTCCACGCTTTCGTGGTGCGGTTCGGGGGGCCGATACTTCGGCTCTTGGAATTAGCCCGGCGATCGCCTCCCTAATAAACGGGACAGGTGTGACAATTAATCTGGCGTCCGCGATACAGGACCTTTTGGTGCACAGTGTGTCCAAAGTAGTGAGAAAGAGCCTCGAGTTGTTGATAGTGCTATCGGAACGATTTTGTGTGTTGTTCAGTGTTCTCGTTAACGAGTGCAGGGGAGTGTTCCGATAGACTGATTTAGGCAGATACTTTTTGCACGCGGCAAGGTTTCATTTGCGAGTTGCGAGACACAATGGATCTCGAAAAGTTAGTTGCGCTTGGTGAGAAGATGGGTCTTTCCGGCGCCGAACTACGGAAATGGGTAAGCCAGAAGGAGAAAGAGGCGGTGGAGAGAGAAAGGTTGGCAGCTGAGAAAGCCAAGGAAGAAAAAACAGCTGAGTTGGAACGAGAGAGGTTGGCGGTCGAAAGAGCCAAAGCGGAAAAAGAAGCTGAGTTGGAGAGAGAGAGGTTGGCGGCAGAGAGGGCCAAGGAAGAAAAGGCAGCTGAGTTGGAGAGAGAAAGGCTGGCCGCTGAAAGGGCGAGAGAAGAAAGAGAAGCAAAGGAGCGACAGCTGAAAGAAGAAAGAGAGGCAAAAGAGCGACAGCTGAAGGAAGAAAGAGAGCAGCAATTGAAGTTGGAGCTGGAGAGAGAGAAGTTGGCAGCCGAAAGGGCGAGAGAAGAAAGAGAAGCGGAGATGGCTGAAAGGGAACGGCAGCGGCAGCACGAAATTGAACTCGAGCGGCTCCGTTTGCAACAGCGAAACGAAACTCCCGTCCAAGCTAGAGTTGAAAGCAGCGAACGAGAGGATCACGGCTTCCGCTTGAACCCAAGCAAGCTGCTCGTAGCGTTTGATGAAAGGAAGGACGACCTTGACGCGTACCTTCACCGATTTGAGACGATTGCGAAGAGCCAGAATTGGCCGGAACATCAATGGGCGACTGCTTTGAGTACTTGCTTGAGTGGTGAAGCGCTCAGTGTGTACGGTAGGCTGACGCCGACCGATGCAGCCAACTACGCAAAGGTGAAAGCTGCTTTGTTGAAGCGATTTAGATTTACCGTGGAAGGATTCCGGGACAGATTTCGGACAGGAAAGCCAGCTGATGGTGAGACAGCTACGCAGTATGCTGCCCGACTTTGCCATTATTTCGACAGATGGATTGAACTTTCAGGGACAGCACAGGAGTACGATGAGCTTAGAGAGCTCCTAATTAGAGAACAATTTCTTACTAGTTGCCACCCAAGCCTGTCGCTGTATTTGAAAGAGAGGAAGGCAGAGTCATTTGAAGGAATGCTTGAATTGGCTGATCAATTCTTGGAAGCGCAAGGTGGCACTAATTTGGCCAAGGTAAAGAAGGAGTGCCCCGACGATTCGAAGAAATTGGCTCCCGAAGAAAAGAAGCGTGCACCAGAGAGCATTCCGCGATGTTTTTGTGCAACCGAGTGGGTCATCGCGCGAAAAACTGTCGAACGATCTTTACGAGCCCTACGGTTGTAAAATGTTTTAAGTGTGGTCAGACTGGGCACAAAGCAGACGCTTGTCGGAACGGAGTGAGTCAAACTCACCAGGTATCTTGTGTGCAAGCGGCACCGAAATCTGATAATAATGCCGTCACTGATGGATTCGTAGAGTTGAAGAATGGGGAGAAAATTCCTATTGTGGGTGCTGTAATGTCAAAACAGCCAACCGGTGTTACGAAGGGAATGCCAACGCTTCCTGGAAAGATTGCAGGCAAGAAGATTACGGTTCTAAGAGACACCGGTAGCTCCACGGTTATCGTGAGGAGAAATTTGGTACGGGAAAGAGAGTTGACAGGCAGAACGAAACCGGTTTGCCTAATTGACCGTACGGTCCGGATGCTTCCCGAAGCAGAAATCGAGGTTGAAACCCCGTACTTCAGCGGGAAGGTTACTGCGTTATGCATGACGACCCCCCTGTATGACCTTGTCATCGGAAACATCGGCGGGGCGCGAGGGCCAAGTGATCCAGAATGTTTGGGAGAAGACCCGAAGATAGAGCCCTCGCCAACACAGCGGCCGCGAGATACAGTGGAGGAACATCCCGTGACGGAGCTCACTAGAGCCCAAGGTGAAGCTGCGGCGCAAGAGACAGCGAAGGAGAAGACGATCGTGTCGAATCAGTTCACGGGCCGAGCAACCGGACGTACGTCGGCACGACCTCAACCGACTGACAGTGTAAAGGAGACGGAGTTGGCCAGCCGGGCAAAATGTAGAGGCATTATCAAGCGGGTAAATAAACAGACAGGACCCGTCGAATGTAATGACGCGTTAACGGTGTCGGAAGAGACAACGATGGCTGAGACGACGCCTCAGATATCGTCGTGGGAAAGGGCTCGCCGAAAAAGAACGTGGAAACACAAGAATAGATCGAGCGAGCACCGCAAAAAGGGGCGCAAGCGCTGTTCGAAGTACTCAAGATAGGTGCTGAGGTGGAATCAGAATGTGTTCGGCAGGGCTGAGTGACATATGTTGTGTTAATATTCTTGTTATCCTGTGTCTCAAGTGTATGTCGAGTGAGTCAGTGTTCTGTGCGATGGTGTGATGTATAGTGTTGTATAATTGTTGGATAGACAGAACTTTGTACGGTTGTATTGTTTAGAATGTGTGATGAAGTGTTGTAGGCATGTACCTGTGGCTATATTTCATGTGTTGTGGAATTGAACTACAATGTACGATTGTATTGAGTGATATATTGTGAATGTGAAGTGTCATGAGCGACGGATTGTGTTACAGTCTGTGAGAATGTGTGGTGACTGTGCGCGCTCGTCTGTGTGGTTTTTGAATATTATGAGATAAT